AGATTATTATATAGTTCTGCTATCAGTGACTTCTTTTTCAGAGTATTTCATAAGTATTAACAGAGATCTGTGTCAGATTCATAGTTTTATAAATGTTATCTTCATGAATTCTATCATTGATAGAAAATATCAAGCTTCTGTTTTAAGTGTTTAATAAGATGTCTTATTCAGATAGTCAGACAAGTTCTAGTATAAGATTATAGTTAAGATTGTTAACTTTATATATATTAACATTCTCATACTGATATTCTCTGATATCTATGTTTAGTTTTATTATGTAATTAATGCCAAGATCTTTTGAACTATCAAATTCTACAAGAAGTTGAGGTTTTGATAAGAGAATTCACTGAAGGTTATAATATCTTATAACTGAAGATTTAATCATTGTATAGTAATATAGACTGTTATCTATTATAATCTTCATATTATATATATTATTCATCACAGTAGATACAAGAATTGTATTCATTATTATCTTTTCTTCAAATTATTGTTATCTGACCTCTTCAAGCTTCTATTTATGAATTTGAATAAAAGCTAATCTTTTTCCTATTTTATCAGAGTGTTCTTATAATTATCTTCTGAATCTTTCTTTCATATAATGTGATTAATGTGAACAGGCACTGATTCATTCTTTAAGTGAGAAGACACTGATCTTTCTCTTAAGTAGACTGACCGCCGAAATCATGAATTTCACATTTGATCTCATTTGATCTGATCTCATACATTTCTTGGCATGAATCCCGCTGAGACTAGTTATTAAAAAAACATGTAAAGTGACTATATATCAGATCTTAAAATGAAATCATGACTTGAAAAAAATGAGAAAATGATCTCATTTAATTTCATTTAGTCTCATTCTTGACATAAAGTTACTATTTGTAGACATTTTAAGGTTTTTTTTAGACTATTTTTAATTTTTTAAAAAGTAACACTTTTTGATAACACTCAAATGAGATTTAAAGTCATTTAAAGCAATAAAAATAATTTAAATTGAGAAGTGAAAATCATGATCTCATTTGAAAAATATAATAAGAGTAGACAGTAAGTTTCACTGAGACAGTATGAGACTACTATCTAATGTTAAAACCGTGTAATAAGATCAGTCAAATTGATAATAAGACTATTAAAAAATCTGATCCTGGTCTCAGACACGGTCACACGGTCAGTCTACTCTTAAGTGATAAGATATATAGATTGATCAGCAGTTGAAAGTGATATGTTCTGATCAGTTACAATTAATGTATATCTCATATTAATATTGATCAGTGACTTCTTCAGAAGTGATCTCAGAAACTTAAAAGCCTGTTTAAACAGCAGAGACTCTTGCTTATGTATAGATATTTGAGTTCACTCAATTTATAATATATGTATTGTCATTCTTCAGCACAGATATATAAGTAACTGAGATGTAATATCTTCTATCACTGTTCTGTATACTCTTGAGCTTGATAAGATAATTATTCAATGTCTGAAGTTGTATACAGAAATCTTTATAAGTCTGATCTTTATCTATGCTTATAAGAGTATGTAAGAGTTTGAAAGTTAATGTCTTCTTAAGTATACTAATCTTTATTTAATTCTCTCAAGATTAATCATCTGCTTCTAGAATCTTGATATTGAAGTCAGAGATAAATGTTATAAGAGAAGTATTTGTCTGTTAGATACTCTGTAATTAATTTAATACTTTCTGTTGTATAACAGTATCTTGAAACAGAATATCAAGATATTTGATAATATTATAAAATGTTTATAACACTGATTCATATACTTTTATTTATAAATGAAACTTCTGTTTTATGCAATTTCTCAATCATTCATTAATATATTAATCTTGATTAATTAGTAAACTAATGATATCTTTATCTATACTTAGTTTTGCAAGTATTTTCAATCTTCATGATGAGTAGAGAGTGAGATTAGAAGTATTTAAATATGTGAGAATATTTAAGTATTTCTTCAGTGTCTGTATTGTATTCATATTTGATTCTATCAGTGTTAAAATTGCCTGTGTAGAGATTTCTAGTTAAGATAATTATTGAATTTTCTTATATTGATGTTATTGAGTTATATACATATCAGCTATCTGTTACTGTTATAATTTCAACATTACTCAGAGTCACTGTGATACTGTATCTATACTCATATTCAAGAGTTCTCTTATATTATCATTCGACATAGTTATATTATTTATCAGATATGTAGTATCTGCAGAATTAGAAGAAATATAATTGTATAAATCTCTTATATATCTGAGATGTCAGAACTCTCAGGTCTTTCGCTAATATTCTCTTTGTAAGATCTTGTTACAGAGTCAGAGTGACTGATAAGTAAGCTTCTATCTAGAGACTCAGTGTCTGCTTAACTGATTAAAACTCAGTGTCTACTTAGCTATTTGATTATTTCTCTATTTCTTATACATTATTATACATTCAGATATCTTCTTAATAAATAATTATTTCTAATAAGAAGATGATGAATATTTTTCAACTGTAAGAGATCTACGCTGAATAAATTGATATAATATTTATAGATCTTATATAACAAAGTGAAAAATATTAGAGAAGAAAAGAAAGAGAAAGTATAAGAATCAGTAATTGAAGTAAGTATTTATATATATACATAGTGATGTATACAGTGAAACTTCAGAGTAGAAGAATAGAGGTTTTTATATACAGTAAAGCTTCAGAGTGAAAGAATAGAAATTATGTAAATTTTTAACTAAGAATTAATAACTAAGAATTAGAGTGATAGAAATCTGTGAAGTGTAACAGAATAGTCTATATAATTGATTAGACACAGCTCATTATATATATTTATTTATAAAATGAAAGAAGTTAAGTGAATTTTCTTTACACTTATTTCTTTATATTATATTATATATAATTATGTACTGAATCTGCTGATTTTATAAGAGAATTCTGATAATTAGACTATTATCAGACTGCTGATAGTTTAAAAGACAGTATTATATAATATTTTAATACAGAATAGTGATAAAAATAATAATTATTTAATATATAAGTCTTAGATAATAAGATATTTGTATTATAATTAAAATATCTTATTTCTTTAAATAGAATAGATAGTTAATGAATAGTAGCAGTTATACTGAGTAATAGATAACTAGCTTAATAGTATTAATTTCACTGATAGAATAGTATACAGTGTCTTATAATATCTTAGTAGTATTTTAATAATAATATCTGTTAATTACACAGTTACTGAGTAATATTATAATAATATTAGAAAGTTCTATACTATCTCAACATTATTTTAATATTTAATATTCAGTGATGTATCACTGAATATAATAATGAAACATGTGTTATAATCAGTGACATATGACACAGGTGAAATAATGAATTTATAGTGTAATCACTGTAAATTAACTCTATATTCTTCTTATATGATAATTGTTAAGAGTTCCGCGGTTGATCAGCTCTTCTATCAGCAGGCACTACTAATAATTAAGCTCTTTTATCTCAGTAGTCTACAGATTATGAAACTGTTAAGTGTGAGTCTTACTGTGATTAACATGCATGAGTTTGATTTCAGAATAAACTTAAAAATTTCTAATAAATACTCTGAATATTTTAACAGTGTTAAGAGATATCTCAGAAATGTGCTCTAGAAGTTCTGTGAGTTCTAGAGCTGAGTGATTCAGTTTATTATTAAAAAGAAGCCATTGTGAGAAGATCACTGAAGAGAGTCACTGAGAGGAAGTACTGTACTCTGTGATAGCTGGTCTGAGGGGGGGTGTTGAGAGTCCTGCGGTTGATCGGCCCTTCTACCAGCAGGCGCTGCTGATGATTGAGCTCTTTTGCCCCAGTAGCCTACAGTAATATAGCAGTTGGTCACGTGATCTACGGAGATCGCTAGCCGCAACGGCCGTAACGGCCAACATTACCCTTTTGCGGTCTAACTTACCAAATATTATTCGTGTTTTCGTCAACACTAATTAAATACTACCGGATAAATATTCTTGCGCTCCCGATCTAAAAACCCAACTTTTGCACCATCGCTCCAAGAAGAAGCGGATCAACTGCATTATCTCTGGTTGTATTCTCCTCACCGTGGTCTTGACATCATGCGGTTCCCTACTTCCATACCGAAACGACTATCTAATTTCGCAACCAGCCGTACTTGCGTCTATCGCTCTCTACATACCAAGCAGGCAGAATTTATCACCCTTGACTATAAAGGGTCCCTCGTGACTCAGACTGTCAACATTGATTTGGGGAATGCCCACGAGGCTTTCACAATGCTCCCAAAAGAGATTGGTTATGCTTTCCGAGCAGGCATCCACTCAAACAGCAGATCTCGTTCTGTCGATTCATTGGCGAGAGACTCAGATCAGTGTCCCCTAACTTTCTATCATGATTCTCGATACTTTGCACATGGTAAGTCATGTCGGCAATTCTGCGTTTCCTAAATAACACTGAAGTTTCCAGAATCGTTACCATATCCTCGGCTTGTAATTCCTCAGGACCTTCCACGTCAGTCTGATGCCAATACAAGCCCCGCCACTCTTCATACCTTTGGAGCTACTCATACCATCACACTGGATGGGACTTTTGATGGTAAGGCCCAATTGTGTATGAAACTTTTTTCCGTTTGCTTACTCCAGCCAGCAAAATTTACAAATCAGCTTCGAGATTCTCTCCGTGATCTGAAGGGGCCTCTTGATGAGCTCAAAGACAAGTAGGACTGTGGCAGGAATATCTTATTGAAGCAACAGCACAATTTTTTTGGTGGCCATTGTATATAGGTTGATATAGAATTTAAAGCCTCATGGTTGTCATTGATGTACGTATGGCAGTTACCCGCCCAATAACTCTGCCGTCAGTGGCTTAAGTGGTTATGTCCGTATACATACATGAAAAATGATCCATTGGGAGAAGGAGAGAAGGGGATTCAAAAAAAAAAAAAAAAAAAAAAAAAAAAAAAAAAAAAAAAAAAAAAAAAGATATAGACATGACAATCACAACATATATCCCTTAATACTCGATTGTCTCATCCCGCCATGCCAAAATATCTTGAGTCCAGCTTGCTATGGGAGTCGCAACACTCTCGTAATAGCTGCCCAGCTGTTCGCTGGTCCATTGATTGGTTGTAACCGCAACGTGAGCGTTTGCGATGCCTTGATTGACACTATCATGAGCCATTGGAATATCCTGCAGCTTATAACCGTTGACCCTCAAGAACATGTCGGCTGCTAGGAGAGCAGCTCTTTTGTTGCCGTCCATAAAAGCGTGATTCTTCATAATCTTCTCGGATAGATTGGCAGCTAGCTGAAAGATATTTTCCTGCTGCGTATAGTGTTTGACATTCATTGGAGATGCGACTGCTGATTCCAACATAGCCGGTTGGGTCGGCCCTATATTGGCAATTGACGTCTTGTAGAGGCGTATAACTTGTTCAGCGGTAAGAAATCGGAACTTTTTGGTAGCCACAGAGGTCGCCATTCTAAACGAGCAAGATGGTGCGAGAGGATGAAGAGTTTCAGCTTGATGGAATGAGGTATCTGATTCCTAGGAGCGGTTGATTGAGAGAGAATTATAAGATTTTGAAGCCTGACGCTGGAATGATCCTTCGGGGTTATTATTCAATGCATGTCAAGAACATTATCACCATCTCCCGTTTCTGCCACCCAGCTCGGGCTATGACTCATAGTTAGGCAGACATCACTTATAAATAACATTGAGTAAAACCGCCAACTGTAATTCAGACAATAGTAGGATCGGTTTTCGTCGGGTAAATTTCCCTTCCCACCTTCCACCTCCGGCACTATTTTCGAGTCCCTACTATCCTATCACGGCATTAGAGGCATTATTAATGACAGACCCACTAGACTGGGCTTGCAACTCCCAATAAGCAATGTTATATGTGGCACTGGGTAATTGGACAAGAGCAACACCCAGTTGGTTAAGATCAATTCCGGGCCGTCCCGTTCGCTGATCTGCTGCGGGTCTGACATACATTCAGCGGCAGGGATACTTTGAAAATTTAGTTTAGCGAAGGAATAATGGATGCTGGAACGGAATAACTCAATTGATTCTCCAAGGGCCTGTTCGGTGATTTTTTCAGTACAGTGCCACGTGTTTGGCATTACTTTTTTCCTTATGAGTGGTTTTTTATGATGATTATCATGCCATATTACACCTTTACACAAATATCAGTGAAAAATGGATCTCAATGAGTCTCAAATTGATCACTTCTGCAGCGGCAAGCCTTATTAACTGCTGTCTATGACATAGATACTGTCATATTGCCACCCAGGTTGCATGATATTTGCAGGTCTCTGGACCAGGTTACACGTCAACTGACGGCTACTGGGGTGTATACAGAAAACTTGACGCTACTGGGGCAAAAGAGCTCAATCACCACCAGCGCACAGCTGGTAGAAGGGCCGATCAACCCGGGACCCCCAACACCCCTCGGACCAGCTACCACAGAGCACTACTCCTCTCAGTGGCTCCTCTCAGCAGCCTTTTTTCTGGACTCACTTCTAGGGCTCACTCCAAGGGCACCTGTAAGGCTACATCAACTGACCCCTCGCGTAGGTCAGCTGACCGCGCTAGCTGTTAGTGATTACTGTAGAGTCTGGGACCAGGTGTCACGCCCCCGGCCGCGCCAAGGCCCCGTTGCAGTTCCACACGGCCCATCGCTTCCCTGCGGATGATTCCATTCATCCCGCAGGCCGTTTGAACCGGTTTTCAACCACCCTATGACATCACTCGGATGCAAGATAGGAGGATCTGATTGATGAATATAAGAACCCCGCTTCTATACAAGGTCAGCAGATTACTCCTCCCACGTCAGTGAGGCGCCGCTAAGGTATTGCTCCGGCTATTCTCACTCATAGAATAGAAGAGGAGTATCTACTCATTTTCTCCTACTGATAATATACAAGAGTTACTGCAATTCTTATACAATCTTCTTAGTCTACTAAGTACTATATCTATAATATTCTCACAATAACTCTGTAGCTTATGAGCTCACTATTTAAGTAAGATAGTTAAGTCTACTTATACAGCTTCTCTAGATAACTATCTATATAATATGTAATGTGGCGGAACCGAAGCGGTGGCTAGTCAGCGGCGTCTAGACTGACCGTGTGACCGTGTCTGGGACCAGGACCAGAATTTTTGATAGTCTCATTGTCAATTCGACAGATCCCATTACATGGTTCTAACATTAGATAGTAGTTTCATACTGTTTCAGTGAGACTTACTGTCTACTCTTGTCACATTTTTCAAATGAGATCATGATTTCCACTTCTCAATTTAAATTATTTTTATTGCTTTAAATGACTTTAAATCTTATTTGAGTGTTATCAAAAAGTGTTACTTTTTAAAAAATTAAAAATAGTCTAAAAAAAACCTTAAAATGTCTAAAAGTAGTAACTTTATACTAAGAATGAGACTAAATGAGATCAAATGAAACCACTTTCTCATTTTTTTCAAGTCATGATTTCATTTTGAGATCTGATATATAGTCACTTTGCATGTTTATTTAATGATTAGTCTCAGCAGGATTCACGCTAAGAAATGTATGAAATCAGATTTAAATGAAATCAAACATGAAATTCATGGTCTCAGCGGCCAGTCTAGCGGCGTCACGTAGGTAGTTGTTTGAGAAGCTGTATGAGTGAGCTTGACTATCTTGCTTAAATAGCAAGCTCATGAGCTACAGAGTTCTTATGAGAATATCATAAATATAGTACTTAGTATGCTAAGAAGATTGTATGAGAAATGCAGTAACTCTTGTATATATTTTACTAGAAGAAAAAAAATCACTGACTTCTTTAATAAGAAGCCAGTATCTAGCTATTTTATATAGATAATGAGTGAGTATCTCTCTTCTATTCTATAAGTGAGAATAGCTGAAGTGATATTTCAGCAGTATTTTACTATTATAAAAGAGTAATCTGCTAATCTTATATAGAAGTAGAATTCTTATATTTATTAATCAGATCTTTCTATATTATATCTGAATAATATTATAGAATAATTGAAAACTGATTTAAATAAGTTACAGAATAAATAAAATTATCTGTAGAAAAGTAATAAAATATATAAAACTATAATAAGATTTTAATATAGTCAGAGATATAATAATATTTTTCTCTTTAAAAGTATAGTTCTAATACTTTTAAAATTACTGAATTAGAAATTATCTTTATTATATAGTAATAGTTACTAACTGATTTTAACAGTATCTATACTATATATAATATAAAGAAATAAATAAGTTTCTTTACTAACTATATAAATCTTCTTTTCTTATCTCTGTTTAAATTAAATATATGATAAATAAATTTCTTATATATTAACTTAAAATGTGAAAAATATAGTTAATAAGTAAGTTACACATCTCTTATTATATTCTATTTTATATATAAAATTCTCTATAAAAGTAATATATTTTAGAGATAAAGTTAACAGTAGTAATAGAATTTTTTGAGAAAATCTCTTCTTTCTGTAATATATTTTTCTTCTTCTTTCTCATCTGTAATACTAAGTATATATAGACTGACTGTGTAACCGTGTCTGAGATCAGAATCAAACTTTACAGTTATTATATTATCTAAAAGTATTACTTCTGATTATAATTTATGTTTATTATATTAATCTCAAATTATGTTATTTTAAATATTAAAGATTTTAGATTTACTTTTCAAATAAAAATCTAGTTCTGAATAAAGAATATATTTAAATTCTTAGTCATATTTTCATTCTGATCTCATTATTGAGAATAATATTAAATAAGATTATAAAATCACTTCTTACTTAAATAATATTATAACATAGTACTCATTTGTTAAAAATTCAATAGAGAGTATTATTAAATATCATTACTTTTTTAAATATAGATTATAATTCATATAATTTTAATTATAAAAAAAATATAAAATACAAAAAAAAACCAAAAAATAAAATAAAAACAAGAAAAAATCAGAAGAAAAAAAAAGAGAAAGAAAAAGAAAAAAATAAAAAATAAAAATAAAAAAAATCAAGATTACAGAGCTGCAGTACTCTTAAAATACTTACTTTTCAAAGTCTTTATAATATTTATTATCAATTATATATCTCTTATAGTGAGAGTAACACAGCTGTAATAAGTTATTATCTTAATATTATCTAATAAATAATCAGTATATATCTGTATAAATGTGAATATTTAGAAAATATATACTTAAAAAGTATGATCAGAGTGAACTCTGCTGCTACTTGAATAATATTAAGAGTAGAACACTGAAATCAATAATTCTTTTTATTGATTTTATAAATAAGATATATAAAGATAATCTTGAGAAATATAAGATTCTCTGACTTTTGATAAAAACAGATCTCACAGAGAGACTTTATTTTCATAATATTAGAGACTAAGTATTATTAAAAAGTGTTACTTTTATACAATATATATACACTTACTGTGATGATTTATTCTCTGTATATATAACTGAGAGTTATAGCTTTCTTATACTATATGACTCTCTCTGAGATGCTGCTGCTGATTTATAACTTATACAGTCTCTCAGTTCAGTATACACTGTCATGTATATAAGCTCTGTATACTGAGACTATGTTGATTTATTATAATCTGACATAGTACTTACTTTTCACAGATCATATTTTATTTAAGAGAGAAGAGAGAAAAGATGTGACTGTAATTTTATTAAGAAGAAATAAATAATTAGTAATATTGAATATAATTTAATTCTTCTGTATTTAAAATTTGATTAGTCTATACTCTTCAATTTGAGAATTTCTAAGAGTGTTTTAATAGTTTTCATATCAGCTTGAACTTAGTAATGAGTTGAAGAAGAAGAGAAAAGAGAGAAGAAAGAAATAAGAATAACTTATTATTATTATTATTATTATTATTCTTTCATTATACTCATATACAAGCAGAGCTTATGATGAGTTCTTGTATGATGTTAAATACAGGTCAAGTGTTAATTATACAGAAGGAAATACAGATGTTGAGATCATATCAAGATAACAAGAACATAGAAAAATACAAAGAAGTGACAATTAGATACATACGATAATAACTTCTCAGCTCAGAAACATAGAGTGATTCATTGAAGTGATTTGTACATCTCTGTATTTATTAGAAACCTGAGATGCTTGAGTTCTGGATTTAATGTATCCCCTGCGGGTTTCGAACCCACGCGCCTTGATTTCCCATGCCAAGGTGCTACCAGGTGGCTGCATTAATTATTCAGCTATCGGGGCAAGAATAACTTATCTTTATAATATAAAAATAGAGAATTGCTGTAATTATTCTTTCTAATAATAAAGATCTGTTTTCTGTATATATCTCTGATATAGATTATATAATAACTGTATATAAAGAATATCAACAGTGCATGTATTAAATGAAGATAATATTACTATGTAATACTATAGCTGTTTCTGTATATCTCTGAAAGCTGTTAATATTTTCTTTATCTCTT